CGTGGTGTGGTCCGACTCACTCCCGCTGCCACCTGATTTGGACTCCCCAGTCTTCTCTCTCTCCTTCCTTCTCTCGCTGCCGCTGCGATTGGAACCACTGCTCCGGCTCCCTGCAATAAGCACAAGGCAAAGTTAGGTGACAGCTCAGACAAGTCAGGAAGAAAGGATGGTCCTCTAGCCAAGAGAGTACAAGATGCTGCAGCACAGCTATCCACCAGCACAGTCCATGTTCTCAGTCTCTTTTCAGCTCCAAGGTCCACAACCATTATGAGAAGGCTTTTGCCCTGGCTCCACCCACACATATGTCTTTGCCTAAGCAAGACCTTGCCTTTTCCTGCTGCTTCCCTGTACTGAACAGGGCATCTGGCCACCTGCAGGCATATTTAATTCTTTTCACTCACCTTCACTGTGCTGGCTGCCTGCACTGCCCCCTCCGTAGCTGTATCCTGGATCAGGGAAGCCGGGGTGGGGGTTGTATGGATGAGGAGGTGGATACTGATATGGGAAAGCCATAGGCCAGGGTGCAGCTCCTGGGTGGGGGAGCGGAGCCAAAGTGTCCTGATCAGAGGCACCGCTGGAGCCATCATGATTGTGAAGAGACAGATTAGCCATGTCTGCAAGAAAGCAGAGAAAAGCGGTTAATCCAAGCAGAAAGACAACCACGTGTAATCAAGAAATTCCCTGTCCATGCTTGCTGGTGAACATGGAGGGGGTCCACAAGGAGACACTAGAAGTTGGCACTCTCCCTGTCAGTGTAACCATTTGTGCTTCCTGGCTGGACAACAACCAGGTTGTGCAAGTCCAAGCTGCCAGTCTAAACAAGAGACCAGCTTGGTTGGAAAGGACCATATCAGAGCTACAGCTCACCCTGTCAATTACTTCCTCCATCCCTCTTATTTAAGCAGAACCCAGCTGTCCACCCTCTTGCTACCACTGGAAGTTCAGAGCCTGGAGACAGTCGGTACAGACTAAGACTCCACGAGGGCTGCCTGGGAGAAAAGATAACATAGCAGGTGACAACACTGTCAACTCTGCTACCAACTTCACCACCCCAGCAGCATGACAAAGAAGCTGGGATATTCTTCATCACTCTAACAGGGTCTGTAGAACAAGGGGCCCAGCCTCATGGCAACAACTGTAGCTATGTCCCCATTGTGTCAGCAGGGCTCTGCAGGACTTCTACCCCTCCCCATCCTCTCCCTCCCACCCATGCCAAGTGTCTTACTTCCACAGAGGTCCCCGAAGATGTAATAGCATTGCTCTGAGAAGGTGATCTTGTTGACAGTATGTCGGATGTACCCAGCCTTCAGCAGATAGCTGGCATATTTGCGGGATTCACGACGGTCTGTAAAGCCCTCTACATGGTGATAGAGCCAATCCACCACATCCGAACCTGCCACCAAACACTGAGTTAAGTACAGCAAGAGAAAGACAGTGGCCCTTGAGGCAGCAGGCCATACTGGAACCAAGACTGGGCCAGAAGTTAAAAAGGGACTGCACAGCTGAAGGTTCAATTTGTGACTCTGGTCTGGTGAACAGTTAGTTTATGTTGACAGAGACGCTCGCTTGGCATCTGCTTGGAAAACAGGCCACCCATTCCCCAGTCCCAGCCTAGGCAGCACAGTCTCTTACCAATGAAGGCATTGGGGATGGTGATCTTCAGCCACATGCGGTCACGCACCTCCAGGCCTGACTCTGGTGAGGCCATGGCTTTGACAATGGTGGCCATGTCACTGTGGATGGACAGGTGAAAGTCATCGAGGCCTGTGGTGTGGATGAAGGAAGGGAGGCAGAGATGAGAGAGGACAGAAAAGACAACAGGGCTGCATGGAAGCATCACACAAAGTAGGAATGGGCCAGGGAACAATACACTGCAAACAGCCTTGGGGCACATGCTGTGTAACTCCCCTTCCAGCCTTCCAAAGTTATCCTTCACATCAGCCATTTCCTTTTGTGCAAAACCCAGGCCAGAGTCTCCTTCCTTCCAGACAGTCCCAAGCAGCTGAGATCCAAAGGCTGCCAACTGAGCCCATGCCGAACAGCAAGAGAATTCTCTGTTCCTCACAAACGAACAACAAACTCCTAGCTTTTTGCCCCATCTGAGCTTCCCAGACCCTTGCTTGAGGGCTCTCTATACCAGAATTGCCATAGATCTTCAGAAAGCAACCA